GCTACATAGAACAGGTGGAATCTCAGCTCTGCCTGAAAGGTCGGAGATAATTTGGGGGGAAGGAAGGCATGCATGAAGCATTCCAAGGGGTTAGCACGGCATGGGATGGGAGCAAAGGAAGCTCGAATCCTGACAACAACATTGGGGGGTTCACGCCAAAACCCTGTTGGGAGAGGGGCTGCCCAGGGAGAGCAGTGCCACACCCTTCTGTCCCTGCACCCCTAGGGGGCAGGGAGCTGTAAGCTAACCTATGGCTGCCCATCCCTGGGAGGGCTGAGCCAGGGGCATGAGGAAAGCACAGGGCAGTCCTGGGGGGAGAGGGGCAAGAAAGCAGAGTAAGAGTAGCTGGGTGAGGGCACTTGCCTGGTTTGTCTCACAGGGGGAGGAGGGGGGAGGGTCAGACCCTTTGCCTTCTCCAGAGAAGACCCCTTTTGACATGTTCCAGGTGACTCAGGGGGACCTGAGGCCTGCTGAGAATCATGGAAAGATCCTGTTAGGGGACCAGGCCTGGAAGACAAGGGTCAGGTGATGGGATCACTGCCCACCTCCCCTCCTCAGAACGAGGGAGATAGGCTCTATCCCTTGGTAATGACTCTGTACTCTGCGTAACAGAATAACAACTCAACCACGGTCCAGTAGGCAGGATGGGTTCCTTTCTGTTTCCCAAGATATAAATACAGGGCAGCCCAGCCTTCTCATCCCAGGAATGTGCTCCCACTGCTGGTATGCTGGTATCTGACAAATGTGTTCCAGTGTTCCAGGTAGCAGGCACAGAGGAAATCAAGCAGAGGTGGAGTCTTGGGGCATCCCTACTTGGAGCCCTGGTCGACCATGACCTGGCCTCCTTGTTGCACTGTGGATGTCAGGGACAGCCTTAACCACTCATCTCAGACTCATCATTTTGTGCCGTCCCTCTCTTCCAAGCCCAGCCCATGGCAGACTTAAAACGACAAACTCTAGTCACTGTAAACAACAACTCGGGGAAGAGATTGGGGGTGGAGCAGCACCCTTCCTCCCCCTGAGTCTCTGGGGGGCCATGGAACACTTGGTGCCCACTCACGTCTGCAGACTAGAGAAGGGCCAGTCTAGTTGGGCCCAAGCCCCTCAAGCACTCAACAATGCTCACTTCCATCCCAATAAGCTCCCCTTTCACGTTACTAACTGATTTTGTTTGGGGGTAGCGATGTACCCAGGAAAGGTACTTGATTTCCCACTGACCACTGAGCTCTCTATAAGATAAGGTATATGTCAGCTGAGTAAGATGTCTAACAAAGCGGAAGTTTTTCTAATAAAAAGGAACAGACTCCGCTAGACTGCTTTGTGCCTTCTCTCCTTCTTGTTGAACCTCAGAAGTGATACCTGGAAGTACAGCAGCCACTCTGTGACCATGAGGACCACAGGGGTAATATCAAAGATGGGGGTGGTGAGGTAGCAAGACCCATATCAGCCTGTATTGTCCATCTCTGGCTCCTTGCTTGTGAAAGCCACTGTGTTAGGCAGGGTTCTCTAGAGAAATAAAACCAGGACATTTATGAATAGATAGATAGGTTGATAGATAGATAGGTTTGTACAGCAAGAAGTAATATAACAGCTAATTAGTACACACAGCAGTACAGAGGGCTCAGTTCAACTCACTTTCAAGGAACAGTTAATGTACTGGAAGTCCTTCAACTCATGTGGACTGCCAGGTCCAAGGTCAAGGAAGCAAACAGCAGTCTTCCCTCAAGCAAGGCAGGCAGAGTCTGCCTGCAGGCAGCAGACAGCAGGGTGGGGCAGCAACAGTCAGTAGCTTGAGAGTTTAGCGAGACAAACTGTGAAAGGATCTTGAATTCAAGCAAGGTGACAGGATCCACCAGCCTCGAGCTCAAGCAATGTACACACCAGCAGCTTGGCGAAGCAGGTCTCGAGCCTCAAGCTCTTGTGACAAGATCCACGGGTTGGCTTGGGCTACAGGCGAGTCCAGTCCGGTTCAAGTCAGACTTCTGACTCATGAGACAGGAAGCGGGACGGTGATTCAGAGACAGCAGGGGCCACAGGTGGGTGGATGCAGAGGTCTGACGTCACCCCAATGAACCCACCATTGGCAGTCCACTGACCTGGAACTGCGGACGGACGCAATAGGAGATGGAGAAATCAGATGTGAGATCCATCTCGGCCAGAAGGTGAAAGGACAAAGAGAATTTGACTGCTCAGTGCATCTCTGATACAAACAAACGTCAGTCACCAAGGCGAGTCCATCCGGCTGCAAAGCAATTGATGGGGTGGAGCTCTGCCCTTACCTTGACCCAGGAGTGTTTGCTTGACCTAATTCCTAACCATCACAGACAAATAAAATAAAATTGCGAAGATACAATGATTTATTTTTTCATGCCTCATCTCACCTATTCTACAATAAGATTCCATTTGGATTTCTGAGTCCTGTGTGTTAGTCTGGGCAGACTAGAGAAACGAATTCATGGAGACTCATATGTGAATAAGAAAAAGGTTTATATACAAGAGCAGTTGAATATTGAGAAAACATCCCAGCCCAGTCCAGATCAGGTCCATAAGTCCGAAATTAGCCCATATGCCTGATACCCATCTATAAAGATCTCTTCAGACCCACGAAATACATGCAATGACGCCAAATGCAGGAAGATCACAGGCCAGTGGGTGAAAAGTCAGTGGTGGTAGAAGCATCTCAGCGCTGGCAGGGGTCTCCATGTGGCTCCTCCAGTTCCCAGAGCTGCATCAGGGTAGGTCCATGTGGTTTCTCCTCAGGGATGTCTCCCAGGAAGTGAGCAGAGAGAGAAAGTGTCTCCCGCCTCCAAGGAGGAAAATCAGGATTTCCCAGAATTCTCAGGAGAGGGCCATGCCCACACAGAAGCTTCATTGGCTATCACCTGATTGACAGACTAGACTCCACCCCTTCACTCTTAATCATCTTAAGTCCCAAATTGACATGAGATTATGTAACTATCACAGTCCCACAATATTTATTAAAATCTATCTCCCAAATACCCAGGCTCTGCCATCTAGCTGATTCTGGCTCTTGGCTCATCATGACCCTCCATAGGTAGTTTTTGTTGAAGGATTTCTAAATCTTTATGGGAGCAGACAGCTGTATCTTTGTCCCATGGGTTTGAACCATCAACTGTGCTGTTAGCAGACCATGACTTATCTGATAGCGCCACCAAAGCTCCTTAAAATCCTTCATAACTAACAAAGGTTTTAAAAGTGATTCAGAATGTATTCCCCTAGCCATCGTCTGTTTTGGTTCCTAGTGATCCTGTGCACAACAGACAAAAAACAAAAACAAAAAAACCCACTCCCTGATCCTGCGCCATATTTGTTGCAACCACTGTGTCAATGCATCTTGAAGGTCTTCCTCGTTTTTGCTGCTCTTCTACTTTACCAAGCTCTTCTCCAAATTAAACATGTATAATGCAGAAGTTTGTAGTATACTCACGATGATATACAACTATCACCATGATGTGTTTCTCATCTAAATCTAATTCCATTCACCCAAAAAGAGCTATGGCTCCATTAGCATTCACTACATTTTCCCCAACCCACACTCCCAATAGACTACTTCTCTACTTTCTATCTATATGGATTCGCCTAATCTGGACATTGCATATCAATGGAATGTGGCAGTTACTTAACCTATTGTCAACTTGAGTGAGAGTGGAGTCTAGCTTGTCAATCAGCTCATAATCAATGAGGCCTTGCTGTGGGCAAGGCCTTCTCCTGAGAATTCTGGGAACGCCTATCTTCCTCCCTGGAGGCAGGACACACACTCTCCCTGCAAGACATTCTTGTAGACAAGCCACATGGAGCTATGCTGATGGAGCCAGAGCCCTGGAGCTGAAGAGCCACATGAAGACCCATGCCAGCACTGAGATGCTTCCACTGCCACGGGATCCACAAGATTTTCTACCCATTGGCCTGTGATCTTCCAGCATTCAGCATCATTGCATGTGTTGCATAAGTCTGAAGAGGAACTTATAGACTGGTATCAGACATATGGGCTAATACCACTTATGGACTTGATCTGGACTGGGCTGGAATGTTTTCTTCATATACTATTGCTCTTTTATATAAAACTCTTTCTTATACATATATGAGTGTCTATGAATTTCTCTAGTTAACCCAGACTACCACATGGAATTATACAAGACATGATTTGTGTGTCTGGCTTCTTTTGCTTAGCACTGATGCATAATACTGTTTTGTATGTATATACTACTTTTGTTAATTGCCCATCCTTGGGTGGATCTTTGAGTTCTCTCACTTCTTGGTTATTATGAATAGTGCTGCTGTGGTCATTTTTGTGTAAGTTGTTGTGTGGGCATTTGTTTTCATTTCTCTTGGGTTTTATGAGTCATGTCAGACTCTTTCCACAGCAACCGTATGTCCCCCGAGTTGTCAAAAACTGAGCTGAGAAATGAGTTGACAGGTGTGAGAACAGCCAATGAAGACAATAGCCAAAACGAAACTGAACAGCCAAGTCTATCGTCAATTACTGCAAGAAACTTAACTGCAAATACAAGAGGCAAAGTGCTTACACCATCCGCAGAGGGTGGGGGAAGAGGAGAAAGGGAAAGGGTAGGAGTGGAAAAGTCCCAGGTCCTGTGTCCAAGTTGAGAAATGTCTTTATGCCACCCTTTCATTCCCAGCCCCCCTACCCTCAGCTGCGGGAGGCCTCCCCACCCCTGCCACACACACAAGCCCACACAGAGACTTCCACATGGAGGGGCCTGGGCGAGGAGGCCTGGATTCTTGACTGCAATTTCCTTCAGAGATTGCCACGCTTTGGCTGTGCACCAGGTCTGGCATGGCAGCTTTTCCCTGAGGCTTGTCAAACAAGTCTTGGTATGTCATTTCCTATGGTCCTGCCTGAAAGAACACACCCGGGGTTTCAGGCAGCACTGCGGACTCCGCAGAGAGCAATGCAGAAGGGTTCCAATTTCTCTAGATTTCCACTAATGTTTGTTATTGTTGTTGTTGCTTTAAATTACAACCATCCCAGTGGGTCTTCATTGACATCTCACTGTGGTTTTGACTGTATTTTCCAAATGATTGATGGAGATAGGCTTTTTTCTAATGACATCGGAGTGCTGGTGATGCTGTGGGGTAAGCCCTGGGTTGATAGCCGCAAGGCAGGCAGTTCAAACCCACTAGTCACTCTGCAGAAGCAAAGTCGAAGCTGTCTGCTCCCATAAGATTTAGTCCTGGAAACCCTACATAGGGTTGCCATGAGTTAGACTTGATGGGGTGGCAGTGGGTTCGATGATACATGGAGGAGCCCTAGTAGTGTAAGGGTTAAGTGCTCTGCTGACTGTAAAGTCGGGGGTTATTTTCTGTTTGCTTCTGTGAGATGCCAATGGAATCACCCCATTACCCCCAAGTGAATTATTCCCTTAGAAGCCCCGTGGGGGCAATTCTTTGATTCTTCCCTGTCCCGCAGAGCTCAAATGACTCAGAATCGACTGGGTCGCACCTTTTGTCTCCCCTCCGTTCATTTTTATGAATGATGGAATGGCCTCATCAGCATGCAACAACTAACTACTAAAGAGGTCGAGTCTTTTTTCATTTGATTATCGGCCACTTGAATATCATGTGTAAATATACCATTTAAAGGGAGACGTTGGACAGGGCAAGATATGACAAAATAATAATTTATAAATTATCAAGGGCTCATGAGGGAGGGGGGAGCGGGGAGGGAGGGGAAAAATGAGAACCTGATGACGGGGCTTAAGTGGAGAGCAAATGTCTTGAGAATGATGAGGGCAATGCATGCACAGATGTGCTTTATACAATTGACGTTATGTTTGGATTGTGATAAGAGTTGTATGAGCCCCTAATAAAACAATTAAAAAATATACCACTTGGTGAAATATGTATTCATATTCTTCGCCCATTTTTAAAATGGGAATTTTTGTTTGTTATTGTTGTAAGAGTTCTTAATTTATCTATGTGTACACACACACACAACTGTGTGGATAATAACAAACTATGTATAATATTTTGAAGAATAAGAATCCCAGGGTACTTAATTGACCTGTCGGGGGTGGGGCGCAGTGGGATTCTGAAGAGTTGGGAGTGTGTGTGTGGGGGGGGCAGGGGAGGGCAACACAGGGTGGCAGGGATGGACCACACAGGTCCAAGGACAATGCAGAGCGGGCAGGTTTTAAGGCGAGGGGTTGTTTTTGGTTGCCAGAGTTGACATCAACCTCCTGTACAGAGTGTAACTGTACTCCCTAGTGTCCCTGGCTGTGACTGTTCCGAAGCAGATCAGCAGGCTTTACTTATGAGAAATCTCTGGGTGGGCTTGACCTGCCATCTTTGTTTTCCTAATCTTAATTTACTTGAAAAATTTTTATTTTGTTGTTACTGAGACTACAGCAAAACACACACCAATTCAGCTAGCTCCCCACTGGGTGGCAATGAGTATATTCTTCAAGTTGTGCAGCCAGTCTTACCCTCCTTTTCCGAGTTGTCACTCCCCTCTTGAACTTAAATCCATTGCCCTCCAAAGTGCTTTTCTCGGCTCTCAACTTGCTCTTGCCAATTTGATCCCACATACCCAGACGACAACCAAATTCACTGCCAACGAGTCAATTCCGACTCATAGTGACGCTCTAAGAACTGTCCCTGTGGGTTTCTGAGACTAACTCTTTCAGGGCGTCGTGAACCTCCTCTATCTCTCCAGGAGCACTGATGTGAGATCAAACTGCTGACCTTGAGATTAGCAGCCCAATACGTATGTACTAAGCCAACTATTAGGTGGTTTTTAAAAAACATTTTTATTGGCATGTAATTCACAAACTCTTAAAATATATGAAAGGATTTTGCAATCATCACCCCAATCGATGTTAGGACACTTTCTTAATTTTTGTACTCATTATTATCACCTCCCAGAACCCAAGATGTAGCTACTCTCTAGTTACTATCTTTACAGCTTTACCTAGCCTGGATTTCACTCAAAAAATCACCACACACACAAATGAGAAACCCCAAGGCTCCTAATGGTCAAGAGACTTGCCAACCTCTCGGTTAGCATGGAATGCTGAATCAGTTGTGCCACCCGGGAAGGACTCCATAAAGGGTGGTGGTGTGTATGTAATCAGGTGGAGGTGGTAGTGATGGTGGTGATGGTGATGATGGTGATGATGGTGATGATGGTGATGGTAGTAATGATGGCGGTGATGGTGATGATAGTGCTGGTGGAGGTGGTGATGATAGTGCTGGTGGAGGTGGTGATGATGGTGATGGTGATGATAGTGCTGGTGGAGGTGGTGATGATGGTGATGGTGATGATGGTGATGGTAGTAATGATGGTGGTGACCGTGATGATAGTGCTGGTGGAGGTGGTGATGATAGTGCTGGTGGTGATGGTGATGATGGTGATGATGGT